TAAGTATTCAGAAGAACATATGTAATACGGAATTTTCAAATTTGCAAATAAATGCTATTGCACATAAAGTCAAGTAAGCAAAATAGCAGATGGTAAAAATGCAAAAGTAAATTTTACTGTTACCAAAAAAGGAGAAAAAAAATCTTTAAACTTTTCCTTAATATTTTTTATAAATTTTAAAAATAGTATTTAATATATTATTAATAAGTTATTACACATCATTAATAAAAGTAAGGATGTAACAATTCCATGTGAATAATTATCAGTAAAAAGTTTATTTGAAAATTTTCATTAAGATTGTAGTGAAATGTTTAAATAACATTTGGTGTTATATCAGTTGTAAAAAATACTGCAAATTTCAGATTATGCCAATATATAAACCATTGGTTCTCAACGGGGGCAGTAAGAGGATGCTGAGGGGCAGTGAACTTGTTTTGGGCTGTATGGGGCCGATGATCATGTTTTGGTGTTCGAACTTAATTTTAAAACTCCCGAAAAATTTATTAAATCAATTATCCAGTTTGCATGATTTGTAACAGCAATAAAACAAACTTTGAGAACTGCTTCTAAGCATGTGAGGCGAATTTATAGTATAGCTAGGATGACCTTGAAGAACTCAACACTATGGTTTTTTTACGATTTCAACTAGCACAGCGCATGCGTCAGCTATTTCCGCACACCATTAATCGCAGTGCATATGTTGAGCATCCTTTCAATATGAATGTTGGATTTGACCCGTGTTTCTTGTTTTGTTTTCTTTCACTTCATTTTTGTTTCTTTTCTCTCAGTTTTGATTTACTTTCATTGTTTATTTGGCCAGTCGCCTAGTTAATTGCACTTATTAGTTCTTTATCCTGATCATGAATTATTAATGTTGAGAATTAATAATTATCTTTCCCTTATCATATTTTGCTGCTTCCAACCATGTTGGTTAATAAAAAGTATCATCAATACAGTACCACGTACTTGAAGTTTGGATTCGTTCCTTCGCCATTCAGGTGGGTCGGGCTGTATTCCTCTTATTTGTAACTGCCCATGTGTTTACTTTGTTACAAGGTGTGATCTAATGAAGCAATGAAGCCATCTCGTCTGCAGGAGCATCTGCAAAAAATTCATCCTGACAAACAAAATAAAGATTTGTCGTTTTTCACGAACATCAGGGATAGTTCCTGAAAACATCGTTTGTCTCAGGCTTACTAGTCATCAAAACAACGCGAGTGGGTTTTTTACAAAAACTGGTTTTCAAATTCAATACTTCCAAAAAACCGGTTTTCAAATTTTTTTTCAAAAAAAAAAAAGGGGGGGGGGGAATATTTTATTTAATTTAAATAAATAACAAAAAACAATATCAATAAAGTCAAAATGTAAAAAAAATAAGAATTGCATATACATATTACTTACACAAAATAATGAAAACTCAAACAAAAATTTCAAATAATATTTATATTATTTTCACTAATTTTAATTTCTCCTAAGAAAATAGGATTTTAGAAAACATAAAATATCCACTGAATGGTGGCCAAGTCTCGTTCTTATTTTGGACACAATGTTGCTTGAAATTGAGAATACTCGTTCACTAGCTACTGAACTACTCATTAGTTTTATCATTTTCAGGGTATCAAATAACAAATCTCTAAGTTTAGGATATTGAGCTTCATTCCTCATATAAAGAAGAACCAATATCATTCAATGCTAAAACAACATATTCTTTTACTGCCAGAAATCTTCCAATCATATCATCCATACTATTTAACCTCTATTTAACCTTGTTTTGCAGTCAAGAATTTAATTCCTTTCCTTTTTTTTTTTTTTTTTTTTTTTTTGATGTAATTTTGAAGAATGGTGTTTCTTACTGGAGATTTTTAAAGAACTTCCAAATTTTTTAAATTTGGGAAACTGATTGTTTGTAATAACCAGACAAAATAGGAATAGAATGTTCTCGGTTACAAACATAATAAAGATAATCATCGTCATAACCATTATATTCGTATTCATCTTCCGAATTCTAACTTGAAGCATTTATTTCGGCTTCAGCCATTTTTGTATGTGTATATGACACATCAGTAACTGCTAAGTAGATGATGTGTGAATAGTATAGTTGATTAATTATAGATGATAATTTGCTAAATTTTTTCATAACAGCAGGTCCATCATTTGTTGCTGCAACTATGTTATCATTTGTTGCTGCAACTATGTTACAGTTTCTAGATTTAAGTTGAAATTTTGCTGCCAGTTGCATAGAATGAACAGCAAATGAAATATGTTTAAAATTAATTTTTACATAATAATATCAATTCTTTAAACCGGTTTTCTTAATGAATTCTTAATGAAGAAAACCGGTTTTCAAATGTGATAAATTTACTTTAAAAACTGTTTTTTTAAAACCAAGTTTGAAAACTTGTCGAACCCCAAATGCAAGGATGGTGATAGCCGCTTATAATATATCAAAATTAATTGCTAAATCGGGGAAGCAAAGAGTTGGTACTGCCGGATGTTAAGGAAGTTTTAGAAAAGGTTTTCTACCATCCAGCCACATTCAATATTATAAAAAATGTCCCATTAAACAGTGATACAGTGTGACAACGAATTGATGAGATGGCTGAAGATGAAGCTTCCTTTTGCAAACATTTGAAACGCACCGAATTTTCTCTTCAGATCGATAAAGCAACCTTGCCAAGTGGGTTCTGCAATGTTTTCAATTCTGTACTTGAGTTCCTCGAAGAAAAAGATGTAGCTCTGAAAGACAGATTGCTACAATTTAAGATTGATATTGCTTACATGACTGATTTATTCAGGCAGTTCAATGGTATTAATTAGCAGCTTCAAGGCGAACTCAATTTGATCCCCCCAAAATCTGTTATTTCTGCCTTCCTAAAAAAATCTCACTTCGTGGAAGCAGAATTTTGGTTGCAATGAATTCAGCCAGTTTCCGATCTTGTCAGATCTGCATTAAGAGCAGTGAAATCCCATTCGATGAAACACAAGTTTACTCTCAACACCTTGAGTCTTTGCACAAGGTCTTTTTTCAGCGTTTTGAGGATATTTTGTCTCTGGAAGTCCCTCAATGGATCATGAACCCTTTTATGAATAATGAGAAAGCAGAGGTTCAGATTGAGGAGAACTATTCGAACTTTCAAGTAATGAAACTTTGACGAGCAGCTTCCAGAATGGTGATCGTCTCGCAGAATTTCGGCTTCAAAGTAGCAGCAGTCACCTCTACCCAGGATTGTGGACTATAATAAAAAAAAATTAATTGCCTTGCCTTCCTCCTACCTTGTCGAGTGACGATTCAGTGCTGTGACTGATCTATTTACAAAAAATAGAAGTTGACTCTAAATCGTGGAAATCGGAAACTTGCGCTGTCATCTTTCTAAAAATATTGAACCGGATATTCAGAAACTGGCTCTGAAACATCAAGCACAAACATCCCATTGATCATACTTGATTTTTTCATTGATATTACTTGTTTAGTTTATTTTTTGGTGTTCTTTTTTAATTATTTAATTAAGAATAAAGAATTTTTTAAACATGAAAGAGCGTTTAAAAAAAAAAAAAAAAAAAAAAAATAAAATTTTTTTTTTTTTTTTTTTATATATTAGTCATTTCAGTTTTAATCAAAGGAATGCAATTTACCTTCCAAGGCAAAAACTATCAAGTTAGAGAAACAAATTTGGTGTGTAATTCTGAAAAAAATTATTTTCAATTTTTGCCTTTTATAATTCAGAAACTCCTTTTTCCCATACCCTAAATTACAGGATTTTCACATAGAGGGCTTTGAAAAATTTTTCGCTCCTTAGGCGGGGAGCAGCTTTAAAAAGGTTGAGAATCACTGATATTAACTAATGTATATCTCTAAAAATTTTGATTAAAAAATCCTCTAAGTTTTTGCTGATATGGCTAGTAATTTGTGTACTTTAAAATGATGGTAAAATTTTTATAAATTATAATTCAAATTTGTTCAAAAAATTTATACAGATTATTTAAAAATATGGATTTTTAAAATAAACCAAAACTGTGTAAAAATTTAATTGGATTAAACTGAAGTTTTGAATTATGGAAAAAGTCATCAAGTTTAATTTAAAAAATGATAATATTAAATATAAAAATTAAATCTAACACATATCCTAAATCACTTTTTCAACACAAAAAAACGCAAATTTAATTTTGCGGATTGGTTGACTAGAATGGAAGTTAAACTGACCCTTCTCCCCCCTTTTTTGTGAGGCTCTGTATAAATCTTAGAAATTTGTTAATGATTTTGTTTTGTGAAAACAAAAGAAAAATGGTATCTGCATTCTTGTAGTAATTATTATTTCGACTGAAGTATGAATAATTATTATATTTTATTTTCTTTATGAAAATCATTCGATATATTATTTTACTATGATTAAAAATACTTGTCCTATGTAATATTACATTCTTTATAAGAATGCGTCTTTTCTTTCTGCCTGGAATGAAACACCTGGGCTCAACTCTGGTGGTAGTATTTATCTTGGACTTGGTTGGGCAATATTGGTTGAATGCCTCAAGGTCCACCTAGCTTAAGATGACTGTTTATTAAATGTCTAAAAGCATCTATATTGTATTGTGAGAGAATGCTCTAAGTACTTGTGAAAGTGGAAGTTGTAAAGAAATAATTAACATGCTTTTTCTATGTGAATTTTGAAGCAAAAATCTTTAAAATTGTAATAAAATTGGGAGTTTTTTTTAAAAAAAAGCATAAATATATCACAAAGTTATTTCTATATGGGGAAGTAATTCTTTTAGTTACTCATTTAAAATTTCGCTTCCTTCTGGTTAAGAACATTTGATTTGTCATCAAAGTATAAAAATTGCACTATAAAATATAAGACCATAAAGCTGGCTTGTATCATAAATTAAGGATCAGCTTTATATGTTGATTGGATAGTTTATTTTATGTAATTTTTTAATATACTTTTTTAAATTTCAGGCAACTATATAAAAATCTAAATTTGACTGAAATTTTAAATCTGTTTTAGACTTTGACAATCGGCTGACAGTTGTCTTTGATCATTTCACACAAATTTGATGCAGAATAATTGGATATGTGTAATAAACCTTCTCTTGTGTATCCTGCCACTTGAAGACTGATGTATTAAATTTTAGGTTTGTAATATTTTATATTTGATTATATGACGTTTCCTTTTCTATAGAGCTGAGTGCTAAGACAAATGAAATTTGTTTTAGATTTTACTTTTTGCGAAGAGGCATGGGTTTTATTATTGTGATAGAAGATCTTCTTTTATTTAATAAGCGAGAAGTTGAAATTTTATGGAAAGTAGTAAGAAAGATCAAACACCAAGTTTTGCAGACTCATATAAATAGTAGTAGATAAATTAAGGTTTACAGATGAAAGTGTATTTGTGTTTTGATGCATTTTTTAAATGCAAGTCAGTTCTCTCCCTCATGGAAAATTGCTCACTTTGTCCTGTTTTCTAAACGTTGGAAAAGTTTCTAAAATCCTTCTACATATTGCCTAGCTTGCCTTGTGCAAGACCTATGCAAGAAATTTTTTTTGAAAAAAGTTAGATTAATGCATTCTGGTACTTTCTGACTATTCATACCTTGAAATTCCGCAGGTTGTAGAACTACAGTATTGTTTAGGGCCAATTTTTGAGTATATGCGTAATAATAGCCAATTCATGCATATGTATAACATGCACATGTTTGAGGGCATTTGGATTTATATGCTTTCTATTTAATCAGCTTTTCGCTGAGCAACATTCACTTGCTGTAAAAATATAAATATTGGCCACATAGATTTTTAATTTTTCCTTTTCTTGTTTGTTAGAAATGCTTATTTATAAACAGATATGTACATATGCTGTGAAATTAGCTGAATAAACATTTATTGCCAATTCACAAAGTGGCATAGAAACATTTCATGGGATGTGGTTAATCAGAAAGTACTGTATTCTTTCAATCAAAAAATGGTACTTACGTACTATGATGACTACCTATATATCTCACCAAAACTGGCGACCCTTGTAGGTTATACAGGTTAACTGTAACATAGGTACTAAAATAAAGAGTATTATCTCGCACTTGCTATTACCACACTTTTTTTTTGCTACATTTATGTGGATTATTGCATTTAGGTTAAACCCGTGAAACTTTTTGTGATTATTTTTTTTCCCAATGGATATCAACATTTTCCAACTTCCTTCAAATGAAGAAGTGATAGAATTTTATTCAAAGAACGCGCTTGTAAAAACTGCAATGATATTAAGTTTTATAATTCAGGATTTTATTGGAGATGCAATGTCAAAAATTGTCAACAAAATTTTGGTGTCTCAACTAGTCCGTGGTTTGAAAACAGTCCTATTGAATTTTTAAAAGCTTTAAGGTTTATTTAATTTTGGGGGCATATAAACAGTCATCCATTAAATAGTGCAAACATCAGTTAGATTTATCCGATAAGACTGTTGTTGATTGAAATAATTATATGCAGGAAGAGTGTGTGAAGGATTTGGAGGATAATCGAAATATTAAAATTAGAGGGCCCGGAATGATTGTCGAAATTGACGAAAGCCTTTTTACGTGTCGAAAGAATTATCAAGGTTGTAAGCCACAGCAGTGGGTCTTCGGTGGAATTTGCCGGGAGACAAAAAAAAAAAAAAAAAAAAAAAATATTTCTAGTTGGAGTTCCAGACGAAAGGCAACAACATTAATGCATGAAATCTAAAAATAATATTGCTGAAGGCTCAACAATAATGTCAGATTTGTGGCCTGGATATCAAACAGAGGAGCTCATTGTTGCCAGTTTTGAACATTTTAAGGTGAATTATCGATACAATTTAGTTGATCCATCTACGCAGACTCGTACTCAACTTGTTGAAAGGATGTGTGGGTTCCACAAAATGGAGGAACAAGTGACAACATGGGACAAGCCGCCATCATTTGGATACCTATTTAGCTGAATTTATTTGGCGGAAAGAACAAAAAACACCTTTCGATGCTATTTTGAAAGCTATTTCCCGCCACTTTCCTTACCAATAATTTCAACGTTTTCTTTTAATCAGTTTTAAGTAAGTTTTTAATTTTTTTTAAATTCGTATTAATTATGTAATTTATATATATATATATAATATATATATTCGGGATTGTTGATTTTTAAGTTTTTGTTTCGTTATAATTAGGGCTTTTATTTTCAAAAGATTTTATAAACATAAACCAAAAAACGGGAATGAAAATTTTTATCGGCAAATGTTGCCAAGGTAGTCTTCATAGTACGCAAGTACCCAAAAAATTGCTAAAGAATTTATAGTTTGGTCTACTCCTGGGCAGAGTATTTCAGACAAAATGTAAAATGTGATGGAACATATAAAGTGAAAAATACTTGGGAACATAATGTATAACTTCTTTTGATGTTAAATCTAAATTTGATTCTGTTAGGTGGTTTGGTCATAATCAGCAGACTGATTGAACTTGATCACCTTAAAATTATAATAGTATACTTGAAAGTTCTTTATTGGGGTGAAAAATGTTATAAAAATTAGTCTTATAATTAAGCACTACATGGAGCAAGTTTAAGCAGATGGCAAGTTAACCCATTTGCATAATTCAAAAAGTGGAAAATCGGCCTGTATCATCAAAATTTTTGTATTATATAAAGATTGGAAATATTTCAAAATGATGAAAAGCAAAAAACAAAAAATGGTGAAATCAAAACAAAAAATGAACAAATGAAAAATGGTGAAAAAATTTCAAAATGATGAAAAGCACAAAGAATATATAATTTTATTTAGCTCAGTGAGGTTATATACATTGAAAATAATTTGAGGTATTAAATTTAACGGTTTGACATAGTATGATAATACTTGAAATGGTTCAACACATATAGCCACATTTCGGCTATCATACTGATAAAATGAATCATTTCTCTCTTTTTGTTTTGATAAACAGACTACACAATGTTTATGAGTTTTCCATAATGAAGTTTTTTTTAATGGGTGTTAGAAATAGTTGGCCTGTAAATCTTGCTGGTTATGATGGACATGTAAGTTTCTGTATTGCTGGTATTTTGTGTTTTCTTTTGTTCAGTTATTTCTTCTATTAATTTTTGCACTGTATCGTGATGAATAGTTTTTAAAATAATGTAACTGTTTAAAAGGATCGTGTCAAGGCAATAATGTTTTTATTTTATTTTATTTATTTATTTGTAAACTTTCTGAAGTCATCACGTAACAGGCTCAGAATTTGATCTCTTCCATTAATTCAACCCATGTTTTTATTTGTAATCCGACACTACTGCTGGCTTTACAATGTTTTCTTTGAGTTTTGTAATTTTTGTCTGTAATCCGGACGTCCATTATCCGGAATTATCTATAATCCGGACCTCAAAGCTGCAAATTTGACACATGCGCGTAGAGAATGTGCATACGTTAGGCATGCGCCCGTTGAAAGAAATGTTTAATAAAGTAAACAAATAAATATTCAGAATTTTTTTTTTGTAAAATTTAATACTTTTTAGATCATAATTGCTCTTTATTTCATAAATTATGGATTCATATTTTTAATTGTGTAATTTCTGCATGCCATCTTGCCAGATTTAAATTGATGATCTATAATCCGGAAAAAACCCTAATTCGTAATCACCGAAGTCCCGACGAGCCCGAGTTATGGACTTTGTACTGTATAAATTTTGTAATTTTTGTTATATAATTTATTATATAAATCATTGTTACTGAACCAGTTGTCTATATATAAACAATGACCCTTTCATAACAATTTGCTTTCTACCATCATATCGAGAATAAATTTTGTGCTTGCTAGCCCATCCTTACATTTATCCTTTCTTATATATATATATTCTGAAATTATACGTATATATTTCGTTCGGGAACCAGATAGTTTGTAGGATTGTATTCAAAATCTGTCTGTCATTGATTCATTATAAGAACCTGGAAGAAACCTTTGTTCTACATGTCATCAACGACTCATTTAAAGATACATCTCTACAAGGCATGTATACTTTGAATATTTTTGCAATCACAAGTTTTATTTAATGTAATGGATCATCTTATTGTATTTATTGTTTGCAAAGTGCAAATTTCTTGAAGTGGACAAAAACTTATTTCGGGACATTATTGTTCTAATGTACAACATTTCACTACTCTTGTCCGTGCTCAATTAACTTCATAATGTAGGTTTTGGGACCAGAAATATCAATATTATCAGTGCAAAATAAACTCAATTCCTCTATGGAAATTTCTGTGAAACTCGGATTGCTTTTACCAAATCATTTAGTTTCCATTACAGTGTGTTCAAGAATTTCATCTATTACAAATTATCTGTAAATTTTCTCTCTAGTAAAATTTTTAGTATCCTTTTTTACAACACTAACAAACACATATTTATGCACTTTCAGTTTATAATTTTTTCCCATCTATTCAAAATTGCCCTTTTATTACTGTCACTATTGTCATTGTCAGATGATACCGCAATATGTCTACATTATGTAAATCTTTTTAATTCTTAACTACTATTCGAATCAAAACCCTAAATTTTTATCAGTTCTGAACTAACTGCTTTTATGCATGTCGTGGTGTGTTAGTGTTTCATTTGTATACACAAAAGCCTAATATTCATATCTACAATTTGGTGATAATGGCCAGAAAAATTGCACGCATGTCTGCACTTTGGTGATGATGGCCAGGAAAATTCCATGCATGTGCTTGTGATGTAAAGAGGTTAAAAGTGAAAGTATTGTAATTAATAAACTAAGAGCTGAAGTTGCATTGAAAAGTAAAAAAAAAAAAAAAAAAAAAAAAAATAGAGTTTTAAAGGAACCTGTTGCAACTCACAGGGCTACAACGTGCAGGTTACAAATTAAATAATCACAGCAGGGATTATTAATATAAAGATTTAATATGGATATCTCACACAAGCTGAAAACTTTACATTACTTTAACTAGTACATACATATAACTGAATGAAAAAGGGAGAATTTCCCCGCTTAGTTCGCATTTAAAGAAAAAATAAGAATAATAAAAAATAGTCCAATCAGATGCGGCGCTCCTTCTGTTGACCATCGCCGAACCGTTATGTAATCGTCTGTCTGCAGCGGCCGTCTCCAACGTTCTCCCCCTCTTTGAGTCGACTTC